GCAGCTACTCGGCAGCTGAGCAGGAGATCCGCTGAGCCCAGGAGTTTGAGTTCTGTGACAGCTTGGATGCCATGGCAACTCTAGATAGAGCAACAGACGCCAGACATGGCCTTAATTTTTGAAAAAAAATGATCATAGCTCACTGCAGCAATCAAACCTATGGGTCAAGCAATCCCATCTTCAGCTTCTCAAGTAGCTGGGCTCAGCGATCCTACTGCCTCAGCCTCCCGAGTAATGGACTACGGCATGTGCCACCATGCCGCTAATTGTATATATTTTTTAGTTTGGTCAATTAATTCCTTCTATTTTTGTAGAACGGTTCGCTCAGGCTGCTTTCGACTCCGCAACTTGAGCGATCCGCCCGCCTCGGCTCCCACAAAGTTAGGATACAGGGTGAGCCACCGCGCCGGCCTATAGCTCAATAGTTTTAAGTTAACTGGAAAATGCAAGATGAACTATTTGCTTTCATCAACTGCACCCAGGGACTATCCTTGATATATAAATCTTTGGAAACATGATTGATTATTTCCTTGGGATACACACTTAATAGAGAAATTATTGGATCTAAGAGCATGGCACATTTTAAATGAATTTGATGCCCTTTTCCCAATTGTTCTGTCAATTAGCCTGTGCTTTGGAAAATAGAAAGCTGGGGAAAGTTTTTTTTCTCACTTTTTTTTTTTTAAGCTTAGACATATATCTGAAAGCTTAAAAAGAAAAGATTGCTAGATTCAATTATACAAAAAAATCTTCTGTACATTTAAAAACAACTCAAACAATAAAAATTTCCTCCTATTCTTACCCCATTACCAATGGGCAAATTCTGTTTTATTTTGCTTGTATTTGTGTAAATGAATCACTCCTTGAATAAAACATTTTATATGCCTATAATCTATTGATATTTTTTTGTGAATTTTTCTACTAATGTCTTTTAGTGATTATCTATTAGAATATTTTCTATTTTTTATAAAGTTGGCATATATCTAACCCAAATGCCTTCACCAGTTTGTCACTCTGCCTCCTTAACTTGGTTGGCAATTAATAAAGTGTAGCATATATCCATCATACAGCCCTGATTTATTTCCACCACTTTAAAGCCTGATTCTGCCACTTTGTTTTGTATCTTTAGGCAAGTTCTTTTATCTTCAACCCATGCCTCCAGTTTCCTTTTTGGTAAATGAGGATTATAATATATTCTCATAGAGTTGTCATGAGACGTAAATGAAATAATACTTCGAATAACTGGACCAGTGTCTAACAATCCTAGATATGATTATTTATCTTGTCTATGTTTTTCCATGTACAAAAGATTTATCTTAAATAGATGAATCAGCACTCTTTCTCTTGAGACTTCAAGAGGATTCTAAGCTTTTTAAAAAAGGAAAGAGAGAACTTCCACAGCTTTCTATTTTCCAAAGCACAGATTAACTGCAAGAATTTACAGCTACCTTGTTTTTATTGCTAATTCCGTACAGATTTAAAAGAATATTATCTGATAATATATGCACTAATGTACATGAAATGTTAAAAATGACAATTTTAACATAATGTTATACAGAGTTTTAAAAATTTATAATGTAATATACCAAAAATCATTGCATTACGCACATTAAGTGGGCGTAATTTGTATACAATTTACTATCTCAATAAACTTTTTTTTTTTTTCTTTACAAAACCTATCTGAAAAGAATGTCTGCCTTAGATAAGTATTTGCTATTTCCAAATGAAAGAGCATTAGCATAGAATGCTCTGCATTGGTGATTCTTCACTTGACAAATATTACTGAGCACCGCATACATAGATACTTGTACTAGGCCTGGAGACTCCACTGGTTCCAAAGCAGTCATGGAGCCGTAGCTACAGGTGTAAGGGACACTGTTTAACAAACTAATCCCAAATGAATGTTTGTTACAATTTGAGACCGTGCTATTAAGAACTGAAGATCGACTATATAATGCAGAAAATAATGTAGACAAGGGCAGGAAAGGCTCTTGAGGAAATGAAGCTGTGAATTACAGGGAAGTGGATTTGTCTAGGAAATCTTTTTTTTTTTTTTTTTGAGACAGAGTCTCACTCTTTGGCCTGGGCCTGAGTGCTGGCGTCAGCCTCGCCCACAGCACCTCAAACTCCTGGCTCAAGCGACTCCTGCTCAGCTCCCGAGTAGACTGGGACTACCATGCCACCATCCGGCTAATTTTTTTCTATATATTTTAGTGTTTGATTTTTCTTCTATTTCCATGAATGGGTCTCCACTCTTGCTCAGGCTGTTTCGAACTCCTGACCTTGAGCAATCCTCCTGCTTGGCCCTCCCAGAGTGCTAGGATTACAGGCATGAGCCACCACGCTGCTGTCCAGAAATGTTCAGTGCATTCTGTGGATTGTTGGAATGAAATGAGGGGGTACATAGAATTACTTGATCCTTTCCCCTGTAAGCCAGCCCTTACCTATTATTGCCCTGAGTTGCTATAGCCACAGCAAAAGAATCTATTACAGCTCTAATCACTGATATTAGGAAAAAATATTTCCATTTCTTTTTGGAGTTATAGTCAATAGTTTTAATGGTTAATGTGAAAAATGCAAGATGAACACTATTTGCTTTCATCAACTGCACCCCAGGGACTATCCTTGAATATAAATCTTTGGAAACATGATTGATTATTTCCTTGGGATACACACTTAATAGAGAAATTATTGGATCTAAGAGCATGGCACATTTTAAATGAATTTGATGCCTTTTCCCAAATTGTTCTGTCAATTAGCCTGTGCTTTGGAAAATAGAAAGCTGGGGAAAGTTTTTTCTCACTTTTTTTTTTTAAAGCTTAGACATATATTGAAAGCTTAAAAAGAAAAGATTGCTAGATTCAATTATATGAAATAAAAATCTTCTGTACATTTAAAAACAACTCAAACAAATAAAAATTTCCTCCTATTCTTACCATTACCAATGGGCAAGAATTCTGTTTTATTTTGCTTTGTATTTGTGTAATATGAATCACTCTTGAAATAAAACATTTTTATATGCCTATAACTATTGATATTTTTATTTTGTGAATTTTCTACTAATGTCTTTTAGTGATTATCTATTAGAATATTTTCTTATTTGTTTATAAAAGTTGGCATATATTAACCCAAATGCCTTACCAGTTTGTCACTTGCCTCTTAACTTGGTTGGGAATTAATAAAGTGTAGCATATATCATATACAGACCTGATTTATTTCCCACATTTAAAGCCTGATTCTGCCACTTTGTTTTGTATCTTTAGGCAAGTTCTTTATCTTCCAACCCCATGCCTCAGTTTCCTTTTTGGTAAATGAGGATTATAATATATTTCATAGAGTTGTCATGAAGAGTAAATGAAATAATACTCTGAATAACTGAGGACAGTGTCTAACAATCCTAGATATGATTATTTTATTTGTCTATGTTTTTCTATGTACAAAAGATTTTATCTTAAATAGATGAATCTAGCAGTCTTTCTCTTGAGACTTCAAGAGGATTCTAAGCTTTTTTAAAAAAGGAAAGAGAGAACTTCCCACAGCTTTCTATTTTCCAAAGCACAGATTAACTGGCAAGAATTTACAGCTACCTTGTTTTATTGCTAATTCGTACAGATTTAAAAGAATAAGTCTATCTGATAATTAATGCCACTAAAGTGTACACTGAAAAATGGTTAAAATGACAAATTTTATACTATATGTTATACCAGAGTTTTAAAAAAATGTATAATGTAATATACCAAAAATCATTGCATTACGCACATTAAGTGGGTAATTTGTATATGAATTTATATCTCAATAAAGCTTTTTTTTTTTTTTTTTACAAAAAACCTATCTGGAAAAAGTAATGTCTGCTTAGAATAAGTAATTTTGCTATTTCCAAATGAAAGAGCTATTAAATAAGAATTGCTCTGCATTGTGATTCATTCACTTGACAAATATTTACTGAGCACCCACTAATAGCTAAGCTTGTACTAGGCCCTGGAGACTCACTGGTCTCCAAAGCAGTCATGGAGCATGTAGTACAGGTGTAAGGGACACATGTTAAACAAACTAATCCCAAATGAATGTTTAGTTACAAATTTGAGACGTGCTATTATAGAAAACTGAAGATGACTATATAATGAGAAAATAATTTAGACAAGGGGTCAGGAAAGGTCTCTTTGAGGAAATGAAGCTGTGACTTACAGGGAGAGTGGGATTTGTCTAGGAAATCTTTTTTTTTTTTTTTTGAGACAAGAGTCTCACTCTGTTGGCCTGGGCTGGAGTGCTGTGGCGTCAGCCTCGCTCACAGCAACCTCAAACTCCTGGGCTCAAGGAATCCTCCTGCCTCAGCCTCCCGAGTAGCTGGGACTACAGGCATGTACCACCATGCCCAGCTAATTTTTTCTGTATATTTTTAGTTGTCTGATTAATTTCTTTCTATTTTCAGTAGAGATAGGGTCTCACTCTTGCTCAGGCTGGTTTCAAACTCCTGACCTTGAGCAATCCTCCTGCCTTGGCCTCCCAGAGTGCTAGGATTACAGGCATGAGCCACCACGCCTGGCCTGTCCAGGAAAATGTTTCAGTGCATTCTGTGAACATTTTATGATAAATAATGAACACCTTATAGGGACAGTGAATTTTATGGAAATAGCAATAACAAAAACAAATACTCTACTAATTTTGTTACATTTATATGAACTACGAAGACATTTATATGAACTACTCTGATAAAATTACTCCAATTAATTCATTTATATGAATCTCACTCTGAGAAATGACGCTGTGTGCAGTAAATGTTCTGTGTCAGTACTTCTTAAACTTTAATGTGCCTATAAGTTTACCCGAGGATCTTACAAGTTGCAGACTCTGACTCAAGGTCTGTACGGGGACCTGAGATTCAGGGACACTCATGCCCATTGTCAGGGGATGGCACTTAACAAAGAAACACAAGCACCTGAATTAAGCAGACATGTCAGGATTCTTGAATTATTTTACAAATTCTCTCTGTTTATTTTCAGTTCAAGCAAGTTCGCTGCTGTTGGATTTCATAAAGCATTGACTGATGAACTGGCTGCCTTAGAAAGAACTGGAGTCAAAACAACATGTCTCTGTCCTAATTTCATAAACACTGGCTTCATCAAAAATCCCAGTACCAGGTAAGTTGAGACAGAAATTGAGACAGAAGGGTTGGAGGTTGCTATGAATATCAGCTATTTTGTGGGTTTTCCTAAGTGTTTTAATCCCTGAAACACCTGATATCCAATACCTTTAGTTTGTCTTGATTTCAGCTTCTGTGGGTTTTCGGAAAACAGGTGGAGAGACAGAGAGAGGAAGAGAGGGAAAGAATGACTATAAAAATAAATACGAATGACACAGGTGAACTTGCTCACCCATCCTTTTTTTCTTCCCCTAAGCAGTGTTTCTCAGACTTAAATATACATACATGTAACCAGGAGTGCTTGGGAACGTGTAGAGGCCCTAGCCCCAGATGTGTTGATTTCCTGGGTTTGATTGGGGAAGGGTGGTGGGCAAGGGAGCCTGGAACTGTATGTTTAAAAAGCATCACAGGTGATTCTGATAGAGATAACCCAGAACTACAATATGGAAGACATTTCCCTTTGGTAACCTGGAGATTATTCTCCAAAATGAGTACCAGACCATACTCTTTCCTTGGTTAAAAAAATAAAATTCTTTCTTAAAATTAATAAAATAAAAAAAATAATAATAAAATTTCTTTCTTAAAACAAAATAACAGGCCGGGCGAGGTGGTTCACGCCTATAATCCTAGCACTTGGGAGGCGGAGGCGGGAGGATTGCTCAAGGTCAAGGAGTTCAAAACCAGCCTGAGCGAGAGCGAGACGCCATCTCTACTAAAAATAGAAAGAAATTAATTGGCCAACTAATAAGCTTGTTCTAAGATTTACATGCAAATAAAAAACAAAAAGAAAAAAAAAGAAATTAATTGGCCAATTAAAAATATATAGAAAAAATTAGCCAGGCATGGTGGCACATGCCTGTAGTCCCAGCTCCTCGGGGGGCTGAGGCAGGAGGATCGCTTGAGCCCAGGAGTTGGAGGTTGCTGTGAGCTAGGCTGGTGCCACGGCACTCTAGCCCGGGCAACAGAGTGAGACTGTCTTTAAATAAATAAATAATAAAATTCTAAAAGATTGGTTTGAGGATAATTAATGTTTCCTCTCTTTGGGAATACCTTTCATGTCTTTGTAAACATGATGCCTACTTTTCTTTTAAATTCCCACATTATAGAAAAAGACAGATAGGAAAGCTTCTTTCTTCTTCTTTTTTTTTTTTTTTTGGTTTTTAAGACAGAGTCTTGCCGTGGCGTCAGCCTTGCTCACAGCAACCTCAGTTTCCTGGGCTCAAGGGATCCTCCTGCCTCAGCCTCCTGAGTAGCTGGAACTACAGGCATGCACCCACCATGCCGGCTAATATTTTTTTCTATATATATAGTTGGCTAATTAATTTCTTTGTATTTATAGTAGAGACAGGGTCTTGCTCTTGCTCAGGCTGTTTCGAACTCCTGACCTCGAGCAATCGCCCGCCCGGCCCCAGAGTGTAGGATTACAGGCGTGAGCCACCACGCCTGGCCGAAAGCTTCCTTTTTAAAAAATTTCCTTAAATCCCTCTATCCAATGGAAACCACTCTTAACATTTTAATGAATATCCTTCTAGATATCTCTCTACATATAGATCCAATGTCTAAATATTATGTAACTGGTGTATATTACACATGAAGTTCTGGGGCAGGGAGTATACTGCTTCCTTCCCTTAGCATTATGTTGTGGGCATCTTTTCATGTCGCCCACCAGGGACAGAGTTTCTCATAAATTGCATTGATCGTTGGGAACAATAGTGTCTCCTAGTAATGATTTGAAGGTTGTTTTCAATTTTCTATATTTATAATAACATAGCAAAGCTGTAATAAACATCCTTGTGTACACATAGTTTCACATTTGGAGAATTAATCTCCTTCAGTTAGATCCATGAATGGGGCTTGCTCAGTCAAAGGATATACAAATTGTGAATATTCCTACGTATCGCCAAATTGCCCTTCAGAAATCAGAAATGTCGTACCCACTTGCCCTCCTGCCCACGTGAAGGGAGAGCACGTCACTCTACTATACCAGTCTGCCTTCCGCTTATCTTTTAATCACTGCCAATTCAATACATGAAGAATTATTTTTATTTTTATCCCGACGACTAGCTAGACAAAAGTGTCCACATGTGGTTTTTGGCCTTTTATGAATTGCCTATTTCGTGGCCTTTGTTCACTTTGTTTTATTGAGCTATAGAGGTTAAATTGGTACAGAAGAAAGAGCTCTTTGTACATTCCAAATATCCCTTTATATGGCACATCTGTTGCTGTTTGCCTTTAAGCCTATTTTCATTTAGTGTTGCACTAAAATTTCTCAGAGATGTTTTTCCTTCGTGCCCTTCAGGTTCTGTGCTATATTGAGAAAGGTCGTTCTTGTCCCAGGTTTATGGAAATATCTATATTTTATTCTAGTGCATATTTTATGATTGCACTTTTCACATTTAAATCTTTCCTCCACCAAAATTTACTTTGATTTAAGGAGTGAGGCTGGGTGTGGTGGCTGATGCCTATATTCCTAGCACTCTGGGAGGCTGATGTGGGAAGATCGCTTGAATTCAGGAGTTCAAGACCAGCCTGAGCAAGAGCGAGACCTCGTCTCTACAAAAAAATAGAAAAATTAGCCAGGCGTGGAGGCGAATGCCTGTAGTCCCCAGCTACTTGGGAGGCTGAGGCAGGAGGATTGCTGGAGCCCCGGAGTTTAAGGTTGCACTGAGCTATAATGCCACTGCACTCTAGCCAAGGTGACAGAGCGAGACTTTGTCTCCAAAAAATAAAACAACAAAAACAAGTGAGGTCACAGTACAGTTTCGTTGTTTTTCCCAAGTAGAGTTTTTCTGCACTATTTATTAAATTAATACATCATTTCCCTCATCGATTTGAAATTTATGATAAGTTCACATATTTACTTAGATCTACTTTGGGATTCTCTATTCTGTTGTACTGATGAGATTCAATCTTTAAGTTCTATTTTGCCTGCTTAACGTTTCTTCTTCTTTCCCCTAATTCAGCTGCCTTAGGTGAAAATGTATTTGAAATTAATGAGGAATATTCAGTGTGGCCACTTGAGAGGATAGCAGCTTCTATTGTAAACACGCCTTAGCGCAAGTCACTCCACAGGTAGGCAGGATGGAAAGCCAACATTAGGCTGTAATTTTGGAGCTGTCCAAAGACCTCAAGCTCCCAAAATTCTATCAAATAGTCCTAAAAATCTATTTTAAGAAATAATTTTGTTAGAAAACAAAAGTAAGGATATTTACTTCAAGAAGGTCAATGCTTAAATTCATCTATTAATATATCAATTAAGAAAACCCTTTAATGGGGCATGGCGGTGCACACCTGTAGTCCCAACCACTCAGGAGGCTGAGGTGGGAGGATCTGTGAGCCCAGGAGTTTGGGGCTTCACTCTCTCTAGCCTGGGTGACAAAGCAAGACCCAGTTAGAAAAAGAGGAAAGGAGGAAAAGAAAAGAGAGGGAGGGAAAGAAAAAGAGAAAGAAAGAAAGAAAAAGAGTAAGAAAGAAAACCGTGATTGGACCCTGAAAAGAGAAGATAAAGGACAAGTATTTGGGGTTGGGAAGGGGAGCTGTGGAGGAGAAGAAAGGGTAAGAGTTCACCAAGACTGAAAGCAGGTGTGGAAGACAAAGCTTTCCAATTTACATATTTGAGTCTAGTTTTTAACACAGACTGTTTTTCCGTAGTTACAAATGCACACCATATTTTTGAAAGTTATAATTGCATTTTTTAACCTCGTCCCAGGACAAGGCTGCGCAGAGCTAACCCTAACGCAGGCAGGAGTGCCCTCTGCTGGTGAAACTCTACTAGTACAGTCATAAAAGGATGGTGAAGCTTGCTGTGGGCGGAACCGTGACTAAAAGGGCACACCTGTAGCCCTGACTCGGGGGTGCAAAGGCAGTATATGTAACCTCAATGTTTGTACCCCTGTAATATTCTGAAATTAAAAAAAGCTAATGTGATTCTAGCCTAACCACAGAATATAAACCTGGCAAAGTTCAGCCACATGAACCCCTTTGAGGTTAAGCCGGTACTAGAGTGGACCACAAAGGTGAAGTTTGTTTTGATATAGAAACTTGGTGCTTCTATCTAGGAGAAAGAAAGAGCATACCCTAATTGAACACCTGTTTATATTTTAGACTAAATAAAATGTCATTTTCTTAAACCTTAACAACAGTTCTTTGAGGCAGGAGTTATTAGTTCTCTTCAGTAGATAAGAGTGTGTGTGACAGACAGGTACTAGTTTTTATTGGATAGTACTATAAAAAGATGTTACGTAACAAGGTGACTCAGGTTACATTTGTATATTATAACTGTGTAGCATGCGTGCATGTACATTTCCATTTAACCATCATATTCCCAGTGGGGTGCTGGTGCTGGCTTCTGCCGTACTCACTCAGTCATGTCACCTTGGTAACTTAAAATCAGCCAGGATGGGTGTATTTATACCGTGGAAATCACTGAATGCTATAAAACTGAGATGTTTCCTGGAGATCCAGTTGTTAAACATTTACCACTGTGCCACTGCATTCTCCCATTTTTCAGATTAAAAAAACAAGAAAAACAAAAACTTGAGCTTTAAAGGGTTGAAAATTAATCAGCTACATAAATGGTGAAGTAGATAATCAAATGCATTCCTTCCGAATGGAAATACTCTTTCTTTCTCAGTATTCCTCTGCCCCCACATGTACCCTCCTTCCCCACCCCACAGATGGGCCCTGAATGTTTGTGGGTAGTTTCTACAGAATCCACTAAGAACATCTGTTTAATAGGATTTGCTATTCTCATTAATATGAGAATGTCAGAGGAAAAAAAAATGTTTCCACAGACTGACATTGTAATGATTAAGATTCTATTCTGCCAAGAAATCGAGTCTTTTCTGAAAGCCTTTTGGTTCTTTTAAGATCATGATATTGGACAGTCGTTACATTTCAATGAGAAGTTCTCTGACACGGGCTAAGAACTTTAGTTAAAGAGATCAGGCACACTGAGAAAAGTTCAGTCGTTGCAGCACCGCTTGATTGGTGGGTTAGCAAGGCCACAGTGTGGAAAAGGGAGTCTATTTGCACAGGTGTTCATGAACTTTCTTGGAGCTTGGGAATATTGAAGTCTGGTAGCAATATGCTGCAAAGCGAATTTCCCTCTGAATGCTTTTCAAGGGACAGCATACTTCTGTTTCTGGATTCATCCTCCTTGGCTCCCACAGCTGCCCACACTACAGGATAAAGGAGTGCTCTGACTGCTTTTGATTTTTTCCTCCATTAGGCCAAAAGCCATTGGCTTCATTATGATATTTCTTCCCCATCATATCTCGAAGCAGTATTCTATGACTGAACTATGCCGAGAATGAAAGTTTATATTATGTATCTGAAGCTCTATTTTCCTTCACACCTCCAATTATCGAGCTCACTTTTAAGTACAATGCCATATTCAGTTGTCCCAATTTCACTTTACAATATATTTTTTTCTTTCCAAATGAACTATGCTGTATTTATTTCTAAAAAACTTCAGTGCTTTTTGTCTCACTTCTTTTAACTAGTCACACCCATCAAAAATCTGCCTCCCCAAAATGTTAGCCTCCCAGATAGTTTGGTAGCATTGGCAAAAGTCATGACCATGTTTGTTTATGTACTGTTTTTTTTTTCTTTCTAAGTCATTAAGAAAATGTTAAAAAAAACTCAGGACCAACTCTTGTACAATTCCTTCCTAAGTACACTTGTCTAACACACAGATTTTATTTTATTTTATTTTATTTATTTTTATTATTATTATTATTGTTTTTGAGACAGAGTCTCACTCTGTTGTCTGGGCTAGAGTGCCGTGGCGTCAGCCTCGCTCACAGCAACCTCAAACTCCTGGGCTCAGACGATCCTCCTGCCTCAGCCTCCCGAGTAGCTGGGACTACAGGCATGTGCCACCATGTCCGGCTAATTTTTTCTACATATTTTTAGTTGGCCAATTAATTTGTTTCTATTTTTAGTAGAGACTGGATCTCACACTTGCTCAGGCTGGTCTCGAACTCCTGACCTTGAGGGAACCTCCCGCTTAGGCCTCCCAGAGTGTTAGGATTATAGGCGTGAGCCACCGCACATGGCCAACACACAGATTTTTAAAAAGACACTTTTTATAGACCACCTGCTATTCTGTGGTGCACATATCTGAGTGATTATCCAGTGAAGATGTAACATGGAACTAAGTAACAAAGCCAAAAAGTAAATCAAGACCTAATAAATATAAGCGTTCCATATGAAGGTTAAGGACCTAGAGCCGGGCACATACCTATCATATTTTAATGCCCCTGACACTTTAGAAATCGCTCAGTAAAGAGACTTAGTATATAATAAAACTTTTATAATGGCATCTGAATTCTTTCCCAAGACTGCTGAAAGTTTAAAAGTGAACTTGTCAGTCCTAATCCTTGATAAATTATTTTTGAGTCCTAGTTGCTTCTATAAAATCTCATTTGTAAAATAAAGAATATAATATTGCCTTTATAAAGTTGCTGTAAAACTTCAATGGGATAACCTGTGTAGAATATTTAGTACAGTGTGCAGTACCTAGTAAGCACTGAATATAGGGTTCTTCTTATTATTAATGGTAAAGTACTTGCCATTTCTGAGCACTCTGGTAGGCACTATAAGTCGCTTATGTTATGGTTCCTATGGTAATTTAACTTATTTGTTTAGCACCAAACTAAAGCAGAAGCCACAGTGAAATGTTTTCCTCTGCTTTCAGTTTGGGACCCACTCTGGAACCCGAGCAAGTGGTGAGCAGCCTAATGGATGGGATCTTGACTGAGAAGAAAATGATTTTTGTTCCATCTTCTCTAGGCTTTTTAATGGTATTGGAAAGGTAAGCCACAGTTTGTCAGCAGGAGAAATGAAATACGAAATAGAAATTATCTATTACATAATTTTTACTCAGATTTAAAGTCAGTTGTTTAAGTGCAATTACATGGAATTAAATTAATAAACATAATAGGCTTAAAGACTACATCAACTTTAAAATCACATTATGTTCATCATTGAAGGAAGATTGGTATAGCTATTAGATAAATAAACTGAATAATGTCCACACGTTTTTAAGTTATTATTTTATTTATTTATTTATTTGAGACAGAGTCTCATTTTGTTGCCTGGGCTAGAGTGCTGTGGCATCAACCTAGCTCACAGCAACCTCAAACTCCTGGGCTCAAGTGATCCTTCTGCCTCAGTCTCCCGAGTAGCTGGGACCACAGGCATGCACCACCATGCCCGGCTAATTTTTTCTATATATTTTTAGTTGGCCAGTTACTGTCTTTCTATTTTTAGTAAAGAGGGGGTTTCACTCTTGCTCAGGCAGGTTTCGAACTCCTGACCTCGAGCAATCCTCCCGCCTTGGCCTCCCAGAGTGCTAGGATTACAGATGTGATCCACCGAGCCCGGCTGTTATTTTTTTTTAAGAAAGAAATTTGTATATTTCTGGAAGTCCTATCTTATAAATGAATGACTACAAAGAAGCATAGTTTTTAAGCATTTTACATAATAGAACTATAGAACAATGACGTTAAACACAGTTAGGTTTTAGGCATCATTTAAATATCCAACAGATAATCACTGAGCTTGTATTTTGCGCAAAATCATACTGAAGCGTAGGAATTGCTAAATAATCTCTTATACTTTTAGAGATTCTTTTTTTTTTCTTTAAATCTAGTAAAAATATGGAACGCTTCACGAATTTGCGTGTCATCCTTGCGCAGGGGCCATGCTAATCTTCTCTGTATCGTTCCAATTTTAGTATATGTGCTGCCGAAGCGAGCACACTTTTAGAGATTCTTGAGCCTTGCTACATCCAGTATGTTCCACAGACTAGCAGCATCCGAATCACCTGGGAATTGATTAGAAACACAGAATCTCCTGATCTCCTGAATCAGAATTTGTACTTTAATAAGATCCCCAGATGATTCATGTGCATAGTAAAATTTGAGAAGCACTTCTTTGGAGCAGTAGCTCTCAACTTTGGTGCATGTTGGAATTCACTTGGGATGTTTAAAAAATGCTGGTGCCTGAGACCTACTCTCCAAGATTCTGACTTACTTGGTTTGGAGTGTGGCCTGGGCTTAGAGAGACGTAACAACTTTCCAAGTAACTGATGCATAACCAAGATAGGAAACCACTGGTTTAAAGAATATCTCATCATGACACACTCCTTTTTTTTTTGACAGTCTCAATGTGTTGCCCAGACTAGAGTGCCGTGGCATCAGCCTAGCTCACAGCAACCTCCAACTCCTGGGCTCAAGCAATCCTGCCTCAGCCTCCCAAGTAGCTGGGACTACAGGCATGC